ATGAAATATATTCACAGGCAAATAAGCGTAGATCACATGGTATATAGGCAAGATATATACATATTACATGGTATGTATATATACACATATGTGTTTCTTTATATACAGATGTGCAACATGCATCACATAGTATAAAGACAAGATATATGCATATTACATGGCAATTATATATACAGTATGTGTATCTTTATGTATAACACGCAAATGCAATCATTACACATGTGTACACACATACATATATACACATATGCATACATATATACACACACATATCATATATCTTTTAATATCCATGGGGATACTGGTAAATATTTAACAACTGGCTCTCCAAAAATATGTACCTGACATACTTAATATTTAATTTGCATTATTAACATTTTTCCATCACTTTTTTACACCTTGGCAATCAGCAAAACTATAAATCAAGTTCTTATTTGTAACATTTGCCTATTTCTGATATATAAATGCTCACACCAAAAATTTAGCATGGGCTGATTTGAACTGATTCTAGCATATTCATATATATACATATATATGTATATGTATATATATATGTATATATATGTGTGTGTGTGTGTGTGTGTGTATGTGTGTGTATACACATATGTTTTGGACAGTTCCTACAATTGGAGGAAGTTCCGAACTCAGAAGGAACAGGAGGAGGAAGAAGAGGAGGAGGAAACTGATCTGCATCATATTTGGTAAGTTGTGTAATGCTTTCAATAGCGCCCACAAGCTCATTGTCAAAAAAAAATTATCTCTTTAATGCTAATATATTAACTTAGTAATGGTATATGGCTGTAAATTGTTAAACACTGTTGTGATAGGTGGTGTCATATTATTAGGGATGATATGCACAATAAACTTCCTAACAGATATTATTGTGGACACATATATGACTCCAAAATATTAGTGATATTGAGAAACAACAGATGGAATGTCCAAAAGGAAGAATGGCATCCCTTGGATATTGAAAGAATAAGATTTCAGACTTAAGACTCTAGTATTTCTGGTGGCTCTTATATGGGGAATTTTAAGGAAGAAATGTAGACCGAAATCCATGGAACAGAAAAAATCATAATCTGCATTCATACCAATGGTAATAATAACTGATAGAATAGCTAGAATTTATAAAGCCCTTCAAAGTTTGCAAAGTGCAAATATTATCTTATTTTATCCTCGAAACAACCTTGGGCAGTAGATGCCGTTATTATCCTCATTTCACACAGGAGGAAACTGAGACATTGACTTGTTCAGGTTCTCAAGGACTTCTTTTTAAAATTCTGTCTAACAACTTGGTTCTTTGGTAGAAGTTAACACTCAAGAAAGCAATTAATTTTTCTGTAGGTCACTGGAAGTCAATATAAGTTAGCATTCCAAATCTCACACTTGCACAATATATCCATAATATTAAGTTTTGTCTAGCTCAGAAATGGGTTTACTTAGGTTTGACATATAAAGGAAAGATGGTAATTTTTTCTTGTTTTTTTTTTGTTTTGCTTTTTTTAGGCAATTGGGGTTAAGTGACTTGCCCAGGGTCACACAGCTAGTAAGTGTCAAGGGTTTGGTCTGAGGCTGGATTTGAACTCAGGTCCTCCTGACTTTAGGGCCGGTGCTCTATCCACTGCACCACCTGGCTGCCCCAGGATGGTAATTTATTACAGGGCTAAGATACAATGTTAAACTCCTAAGCAAAGAGGAGGAGCATTGATTGGGATGGCACTTTGAATGCAATATGAATCAATAGTGCAACTTAGCGACCATCAAAGCTAATTCAAGCACAAGAGAAGTATAATGAATGTATAAGAATAAAATGAGAGTATCCCTGGTTTGTGCACTTGAGTTTTGTGTTCATTTCTGGGCACTTTAGGAAAGACATTTACAAGCTGAAGCACGGTAGGATGACTAGGATAGTGAAGAGAGGCTTTGAGAGGAGTTCTTTGCTTTGCCCTCCAGTCCTCCAATCAAAGGGGCAGAGGGTACTGAGGGTACTGGTGAGATGTAAGTACCAAGGCTGACAAACTTTCACAGGATGATAGATTTCCTCATGTTGTAGTTCCTGGAGGCAAGATGGAGTTCAGTCCAAATGAATGCAGCTGAGTGAGACGTTGTAGCTGTTATTGTTGCCATAGTCGTTGATGTAGTCATCATCATCATCCTCGTTGGTAACAGGCAATTAGGTGATGTAATGGATAGAGCACAAGATGTGGTGTCAGGAAGGTCTGTATATCTTTGGACTGGACTTCATCATGCTCCTGACAATGCCTCTCTCCCTCTCTCACTTCCCTTTTCCTTTTATGTGTTGTTTTCCATCATTAGATTATAAGCTGTTTGAAGGCAGGGACTCTTTTCTTTTTTCATATTTGGATCCTTATTGCTTAGCATAGTGCCTGGCATATAGAAGGTGCTTAATAAATGTTTATTGATTGAATGACTAATGCTAATAGCTAGCATCTATGTAGCACTTCAAGGTGTACAAATCACTTTACATATGCCTGTATTCTTACATGTGTAGATATTGTCTCTCCCCTCACCCAAAAGAAGGGAAATTCCTTGAGAATAGGAACTGCCTCATTTTTTGTCTTTGCATCCTCATTGCCTCACACAATATCTGGCAAATAGTAGATGCTTAATAAATGCTTGTTGATTGATTGCAAGAAGTGTGAATATTAGACAAGAGATTTGCCCTCATTGAGTTCATAATTTAGTAAAGAATATGGGAATAGAATACATGTACAAATAATGCAAAAGTAAGGGTGGAGGTAGACTGAATCAATCAATCACCCCAATCTACTCCGCAGAATGTTTTGTAACTACGTGTCGGAAGTACATGTACAACATATTACATGAATCTCTCAAGGCCGTTCATAAATAATCATAGAACACAAGCATAACATACAGCGTAAAACAATAAAATATCACTCACATATGTAATAGAAATGAAGTATGCATAAAAGCTGCATACGATGTACATAAATAGCAAAGCCATTCATAGTTAATAGACAACAAATCTATAGCAACAATAATAATAGCTAGAATTAATATAGTGCTTTACGGTTTGCAAAGCACCTTTCATGTGTTAATCTCATTTGCTCCTCATAACAATTTTGAGAGGCTGATACTTTCATTATGCTCATTTAACAAATGAGGAAACTGAGACATATAGAGATTAAGTTACTTGCCCCATGTTACACAGATAGTAAATGAGGAAGGATTCAAACTCAGCCTTCCTGACTTTACATAAATAATTCAAGCACAAAAGCTGATAAACATGGACAACAAAATAGTAATTAACGCATTCATCAATGGGCATAAACAATTAAATCCAAGGCATAAGTGACTTAGATAAAAATTAATATTGTTGTCTAGCTAAATGTGCAAGTGCTTCTCTAGTTTTCCCTGGAACTTCAAAAATTAGTATAATGACATATCAACTATCCCTAGTTCTCTCATGACCTTCTGACCTCTCTGCCCCTCTTCCTGAACTGGTTAATAATATGGGCTAAGTCCTCATAAGAACTGGATTTCTTCATTCCCAAACTCTTATGGAGGGCCTAGGTTGGTTCTTACTGTTACTGTTCTCTAGAGGATATCTGTAGTCCCAGAGTCTCTATTGATGACTTCTATGCAAGAAAGGTGTTGCTTCTGGATTTAGCCCCCCTCTCTCTGAAAATTCCTTCATGAGAAATTTATATGTGGTCCTCAGTCTTCTTACCATCCTGGTCACCCTACTTTAGACATGCTTCAACTTGTAAATGTCTTTCCTAAAATGTAGTGCCCAGAAATGAACACAAAACTCAAGTGCACAGACCAAGGATACTCTCATTCTCTTATTTTGCATTTGTTATAGCTTTGATGGTTGGTAAGTTGCCGTATTGATTCATGTCCAGTTCAAAATGCGATCCCAACCAATGCTCCTCTACTTTGTCTAGGAGTCTGACACCATGTCTTAGCCTTGTAAGTATTATCTTTTCTTTATATATTAATCCTAAGTATACCCATTTCTGGGCTAGATGACACTTAATATTATGGATGTATTGTGCGATTTGGAATGTGTGAGATTTGGAATGCTAATTTATATTGACGTAAAATGACTTACAGATTACCAAACAATTAACTGAGACAGAATTAAAAAAAAAAAAGAAGTCCTTTGGAAGGGAATCTTTTCTGAAGTTAGATTTAGACTGGACAGTGAAAGGAGTCCAAAGAAATTCAGTTATGGAATTTAGGGAAATGTGTAAGTTGCTTGGGGCAGTTAGGTAGTAGAGTGGATGGGGTACCAGGCCTGAAATCAGGAGGACTCCTCCAACATTTACTAGCTATGTGACCATGGGCAGATCCCTTAATCCTGTTTGCCTCAGTTCCTCTTCTGTAAGATGAGCTAGAGAAAGAAATGGCAAAACCACTCCATTGTCTTTGCCAAGAAAACACCAAATAAGGCCGTGAAGGGTTGGGCATGACTGAAATGACCAAACAACAAAATAGCTTGCTTAGGGTTTGGGTGGCTTCCAAGAAGCAGTTTTGACTTGGAGCTTCGGGGCTGTAGCCAGACACCTCCCTTCCTCCAAGAAATGAGTCTGTATTCCCAAGCATCAGCACTAAGGGAAATAATACAGTGAACTTGAGAGTGTAACAGGCTGGAACTGAAAGTCATAGTTAAGTGCTCACCTGGGCCAAGCAGACTCTTAATTTACCTGAGTACCTCTATTTTACCTATCTTATAGTATAACATTTCACAGCTTTTCGTAAATGTCTGTTTTGTGTAAGGAAATTGCCAAAGGCAAGACAATTTCAAACTGTTATAGCCATCTTCTAAACTCAGTCCAGCTTGAGGTTTCTCCTTTTCTCATTCTCTACTGTATGTCATAGCCCAGAGCTGTTGAAGTGATGATTTTTTCTAATTCTTGTCCTCTGTTTCTCTTCCATGCTAGCTTCTGACCATCTCAATGACTGCACCCCCAAACCTTCCCTCAGTCCTCCCCAAAAACACCACAAAAAACTTTCGTAAGACGATTTTATTAGAAGCCAAGAGAGAAGGAAAAATTTTAAAAAATTCGAGAATACAGAATTGATGAATTACAGAACCAAACTTTGAAATCCTACTCTAAAATAATCTTAATCCAGTTCACTGAGGGTGGTATAGCTTTCTGGGCTACCTTTTGTTTCTAGCATCTGGTCACAAGTGGGCCAGCCACCATGTTTCCTTGGGAGATAGATTGTACTTCACAATTCTCTCTCCAATGTTGTTCAATTTGAAGATCCTCTACCTAAAAGGAGAGCAGATAAAGGGAAGGTTCCAGGTAGGACTGGGTTTTCAAAAGCTAGTTCCCCTTTTTCTTTATAGTTCCACCAAATTCTTTGTGTTATAGAAAAGTGGACTTCTACCAAAAATATCCTGTATCACCTTAGGTACAGTATGGGAATGTAGGGTCAGTCCTGTGATAATAATCTAAATGGGGTGAGGGGAGGCTGTGAGAAACCGTAGTGGGTTGCTCAGATGGTAGCCCTAGAAGTAACCAGAGGAAAATTTGGATTGCCTTCTGTTCAGTGGTTTTGTAACACTCCCCCCCATCACATGCTTCCCTCTAGCATAATAAGACACCATGGATTCCTGTGTCCCAATCTCAGTTTCTTCATTACATTCATCCATCCAAGATCCTACCCTGGATAGGATGAGATGGGGGAGCAAATAGTGATCATCTAGAAGGGAGAAGAGTGACATGAGAGAGGCAGACTGAGGTACAGAGACTATGACTCTACATTGGGGAAGCAGAAATGCTTTGAGCTATGGAGAGCTTGGGGTTATGAGGTCAGGAGTGGAGCTAATGTCCGGAGGGATTTGGGGGTCATGATTTTATTCAAGGTCAGAACATGAAGGCCAAGTGTGGTGATGTTCCCACCTTCCTCTCATTAGAAAGTCTTGCAGCATCGAGCGGTGGTCCAGTCCATGCCTTTGCACTGACAATGACACGTGTCGTCCCCTTGAACATCCCAAGAACCGCAGCCATGGCCACAGGCACAGCCAGTAACTTTAAACCCTACAAGGAGGCAGAAACACTGTGAGCCCCTAGATGCCAGGGAAACTCTCTTGCCACTATGCATAGGCCCCTCCTACCCTTTTCCTTCATTAATGGCCAAATTGAAGCAGTGGTCAAAGGAATGGGAGGGGAAACAGAGGAGGAAGAAGGAGCCAGATGAGGTGAAGAGGCTAGGAAGAGAAAAGAAAAGAAGAGTTTAAAGAGATATAAGAGGAAGAAATGAAAAAGAGTGAGAGAGTAAATGGAAAGCAAGTGTCCCCCAGTATCAACCCCCAAGAGAAAATGGAGACAGGAAGCAAAGATATTTGGGGGAGGGGGTTCATAAGTCCATAAGCTTAATGCAGTAGAACAATTGGAGTAGAGGAAGAACAGGAGTAGGCTGTGGGAAGATGAAATCCTGGGAAGTGAGATTAGGGAGTATCTTTAGTCACTTACCTGAAGGGCAAGTGGAGAGTGTGCCACTTCTTGTCACACTTGTACAAGAGAGAGGTCTCTGATATGCAGTCTCTGAAAGTCAGGCAATGAGAGGATGGGATGTTTCTTGCTTAACCTCATCCTACAAATCTCACTCATTTCCCTGCACCTCTCTCATTTCTCCAAATTGGACACTGGATCTCAGCCCTGGGGACACTTAAGGTTTTAGATTGTGCCCTGTGACCGACAGGAAGATTGTCCTGAACTGGAGTAAGATTTGTGTTTGAGATTCAGGGATGGAGTTGGGGTCTAGAAAGTTTAGGCTTCTATACTCCAATTCCCTTAAGGTCTATTACCTAAGTTGGAAAGAGCTTCCTGTATTTTCTTCTCCACAATCAAGTCTAAAGAGCAGTCAGCATGGCCAGGGGACATCAGTGCTAGAAGGGTGACGAGGATGAGCAGGAAAAAGAAGGCAGGTTTCATCTTGTTAGAAGGCTGTGTCCTGCAGGGAGAAAGAAAGCTGGTTAAAAGTGAAGAAGGTGCTTCCTCATTTTCCTGAGAGCATAGCAGGGACTGGGAAATTGGGGAACAGATAGTCTTAATTCCAGAATGCCGGTCCTCCATGAAGGTGAAAGGAGATGAACTATAGAATCATCTTACTCACCTGAGAAAAGTTGGGTAGAGTGTGAAGGGTAGGAGATTTATATATGTCCTGGGGCTTTGCTTGTTGGGTCCACTCCAGCTAAACTAAGGGCGTGATGGAATGTATTGTCTCAGGGCCAAGGAAATAATACTCCCATTTAATCCCATTTATTTCCTAGGAAAAATAACATTTAGAGAACTGATAAAAAATGAGGTTCCAGTAAGTACACAATGGAATATATTGACTCAGGGCCAAGGAAATAATATCCTTATTTACTCCCATTGACCTACCTCTTATTTTAAAGAACCCCAGGGCAGCTGTGATACAGCTGTCCCAAGGGCAAGACTAAAGGGTAGATATCCAGGAAGGGCTCAGAATGTTATTTCAAAGCCAGAGGAATAATATCCACAGACCCCTCCCCTTCCTCACTTCTCACTTCAAGGAAACTTTCAACCAGCTATGATAAGCCACTCTGGGGCAAGAGCACAGAGTATTCATACAGGGGTTCCAGAAAAGGTAGCAGCTGCCCTCACTGCACAGAGGACAAGAGAGGGCACAAAGCTCCTACGCTGTGGCTTCATAATCCTTTCCTTATTAACACAGGTATGAGAAATTGCTCCATAGACCTTCACACTTTTGACTCAAAGAACCCTTGTTGTTTGTTTTTTGGGTTCTAGATTTCATAGTTTCAGGTCTTGGAGCAATTTGCTCCATTTTGGAATGTCTTGTGATCAAGCACCTGGGGAATTTCATAGGAGGCAATAGGGTATATTTGGGGAACAGAAGAGTGGTGGTATGTCAGTCAATCAGTAACAAGGTATTTGTTGTTCAGTTGTTTTCAGTTGGGTACAACTTTTCATGACCCATTTGGGGTTTTCTTTGCAACAATACTAGAGTGGCTTTCCATTTCCTTCTCCAATTCATTTTACAGATGAGGAAACTGAGGCAAACCAGGTGAAGTGACTCACCCAGGGTCACATAGCTAGTAAGTATCTGAGGCCAGATTTCAATTCAGGAAGATGAGTCTTCTTGACTCTAGGCCTGGCACTCTGTACTGTACCACCTTGCTGCCCAACAAGCATTTACTAGGCTCTTATGTGCCAGGCACAGTATTAAGTCCATAAATATGTGTGTGTGTGTATGTGTGTGTGTATATGATGGGGCGGGGCCCAAGCCAAGATCTTTGCCCTTTGCCCCAAAAGGGAATCTGACTCACAGGCCCCAGACCCTCATCTCCCTTTGAAAGCCTTAGGCTCTCTTTTGTCTATAGGCCCCAGAAAGGCCTTCTCTTGTCTCAAACTGTTCCTTATCAACTTCCTGTATCTCCTTTTGAAAGTCCTAGCCCCACCTTGATTTTGTGCAGATGCCTTTCAAACTTCTGCCTTCCTGTTCCCTCCATCATCTATTCCCATTGTTTATTCAATCTCTCTGACCTCCCCAATTAGAATTCTTACCTAGACCCTCTTCCCAACCCCCTTCTCTGGCCACCCAAAGTTGCTTTGGTATTTAAGATCCACCTTGGCCCTCATTCAGATGCTGAGAATCTCACGCTCAAAAGGCTGAGAACCTCTCATGCCTGCTCGTCTTTACGGGCGTCACCTGGTCAATGTGATTTATCACTAATAAACTTTTCCTCTGGCTGAAGAAGATTTGAGTTGAATTCATTCAGCTGGGCCCGGTACCGTGATCTTGGGGCCCCAGCACCCCAAAACCCTTAGACTTCTTCATATACACACAGATATACATACACACACATACATACATATGTATATCTCTGTATATGTAACTATATGTGTATGCATATATACACACACACATATATATATGTATATGCACACACATGCATACTCGTGTGTATATGTATATATTTTCACTCTGATTACCTGTTAAATTAGGTTACCTAGTTTCCCATTTTCAGCTATACTCTACATAAACTATATTCCTGATTCCAGTGGCTACTATGTCTGGTGCCCATCTATCACTCCCAGGTGTCTATACCAAAATTGCCCGCCATGATACATCTTTGGGGATTTCTAAGCTGGTGGTGGCTGGTATTAAATAGTAGCATCTGAAGATCTTATCTGTGAAGGTCCTTTCTTGGTGGGTGTTGAGATTGATGTCCGGGAGGCATAGCCTTACCTCCAGGCAGACAAACCAATAATTTGTGATTTTGGGGCATGTGGCCTGTGAGTTTACTATTCACATCCCACTGCCACTGGATTATAGAGGGGAAGACTAAACAGATAAACTATTTTCCCCTTGGGCATGGTTAGTAGGGTGGGTTAGTTGTGAGTGTATTATCAGTAATTGTCAGGGTTAGTGGCAGCCCCTCTCTTTAGCTCCTCATAAACGTGTGCCCAGTAGATGGGAGAGAAAGAGGACCCTTTCAAGCTCCTCAGAGGGCAGGCTTGATGGCATCCTGAACCTGCTCAAAGGTTTGCTGTTGTGTGGGTCCCTAGGAGAAAATAGCAGATTGTCTTGTCACCTGGTAGGGGAGCTTGAGAAAACATGCAGGAAGCACCTGTTGCTGTGCTGTGCACAGCTAACTCAGCTCGCCGCTAGAGCCAGGATCCTAACTTTGAAGGAATAAGACCAGCTTAACTTTCTATCTTGAATGCGCATTGATGAGGCCGGAGACAAGATGGAAGCAACTCTTTATTTTTAGCAAAGCACTTACTTATATAGTAAAATAACAGGAACTGTTTCTCAAGTTACAATGACGTATAGCCCATGCTGTGCTCAAGGATAGTGCATGCATGTCCTGTGCACTTATCTGACTCCAATCCCAGAATAGACTGCTAAAGACCATACAATAACTAGGGGAGTTAAAGATTGTTAAAGATCCATACAATGGAGCACCGAACCAGGCGACCTTTGCTCAAAGATCAGCACCTGAGAGGGGCCTTCACCCATCAGTGAGACCTCTTGAACAGCCTGTGGCCCTCTACATCCTTACAGATCCCCAACATTGCTGAAGTGCCCAGGGCTTCTTTTTTATAGTGAGAAGTTCCAGACTGAGCAACTTTTCTTTAACTGGTCTTGGTATGCCTCTCTGGGCTCCTGTCCTTGGACTCTCAGGAATTTCACTTGTATTGATGGACCCTGGATCCTGACTGGGTTGGTTGCCTTCGTATCCTGTATTAGGGTGTGGAGGAGGGCAGTCAAGGCCTATTGAGCCTTCACTTCAGTGGGAGTGACCAGCACAATGCTCACTGTAATGGAGGATGTCTTAGCTCTCCATCCTACCCACAGGGGGCAGAGAGCAGGGCTATTTAGATACCCTTGTGGTAGGCCTATAATGGTTTCCTTTGCTAGGTGAAAGAAAACTGTTTTTGATCTTCTTCCCAGAGGAGAACTGAGAAGAAGGCATTGGCCAGGTCAACCACTACATACTAGACCCCCAGTGTTGTAGCCATTCTCTCATTAATAGCAGTCACATCAGGTACTATGCCCTGTTTCATTCTTTACAGTCAATGATCAGGTGCCAGATTCCACTGGCCTTTCTGCTGGGCCACACTGGATTATTCTAGTGAGAAGTGACAGGTTGTAGAATTCCCATTTGTTCCCGTCCTTGAATTAGAGCCATCATGTCCCCCTCTTGGGATCCCATATTGGCAGGTTTGTGCTACCGGAATGGAATGAAGAACAAAGAAGGAAGAAACAAAAGAAAAAAGGAGGAGCATAAGGAGTAACCAAGCCCCTACATTGATGGCCATACGCTGAAGGACAGAATGTGAGGTAGGCCATTCTTCTCCATATACTGAGTGATCAAGTGTGCTGATAGATCTATTCCAATGATACGTTTTTCCTCAAGAGAGGTAAATCGTCTGCCGCAGGGAGGTGAAGGATCTTACTGTGAGATAGGCTATGGTTTGGGTTCCTCATATAGCAGGACATTAGTCTTCTGGCAAGTCCTCCCTAGCCTGGGACCATGGTAACCTGAGCCCCAGGGCCCAAAAGTCCCATTAAAAAGTGGGTTGCTTCTCCCAGTCACTGAATCATTATGGGTGCATAAGGATGGTTATTGGCAGGGTAAGGAGACCCAAGGACCAGACCATACCTTTAGTCAAACGTCAAGTCCTTTTTTTAACATTTAATCTTTAATATGTGGAATAAAACAAACATTTCTATAACACAGTACAATAAAAAAGATGCTTGCATGTGAAACTGCAGATCTGCTGTGTACAACTTGCTATTTCTTTCAAATATACAATAAAATTATCATATAAATTTCTTTTGTTTCTTCCCTCACCCTGCACCCCACCCCCCAAAAAGGCTACCATTAGACACAAATAGGTGTGTCTAATATATATACACACACACACATATATATATACACATACACACAAACACATGCATATAAGTATATGTATATATAGGTATATGCATGTATGTGTATATATAGGTATGTGTGTATGTATGTTATGTATATATATATATATAAAATTATTCTATACATACCTCTATTTACCAGTTCTTCCTCTGGATACAGACAGCATCTTTCTTTATATGTCCTTTATAGTTAATTCGGGTATTTCTAATAGTCAAAATAACTTATTCACTCAAAATCATTCTTAAAACAATATTGCTGTTACTGTATACAGTGTTCTCTTGGTTCTGCTCATTTCACTCTTCATTATTTTGTGCAAGTCTTTCCATATTTTTCTAAAATCATTGAGCTCATCATTTCTTACAGCACAATAGTATTCCATCACAATCATTTACTGTAACTTGTTTAGCCATTCCCCAATTAATGGGTATCCCTGCAATTTCTGGTTCTTTGCCACCACATAGAAAGCTGCTATAAACATTTTTAGAACACATAGGTTCTTTCCCTTTTTCCATAATTGTGTTTGGAAATAGGCCAAGTAGTGTTATTGTTGAGTCCAAAGGCATAGGCAATTTAATATATGTATGCATAATTCCAGATTGCTCTCCAAAATGGTTGGACCAGTTCACAATTCTACCAAAAATGAATTAAGGCCCCAATTTTTCCACATCCCCTCCAACATTTGTCACTTTTCCCTTCTATCATTTTAGCCAATCTAGTAGGTGCAAAATGATATCTCAATTTGCATTTCTCTAATCAATAATAATATAGAG